AAAAAAAAAAAAAAAAAGATACATAATCTAAACTAGAAAGTGCTATGCTTGTTTGTGGAGGAAAGTGTTACTCATTTGTGTTACACTTGCTCCTTTGTTAGACTTGTTTATAGTGACCAGGTAACATGGTGATGATGTAACATGGTAATGTGTCACAACCATGGTAACATGGTAACTTTTGGTGTTTTACTGGTTTATAGTAACCATGGTAACAGATTAGCATATCTGTAAAACAGTAGAGAGTCAGATGAACAGATGGCTAGCCAGATGATGACTTGTCAGTTGAAAGGAGGTGGCATAACCCTACCAATTGTATTCTAGTAAATCCATGTCTGGTCACAATCTAAACAAAGATGGGAAATCCAGAGCTAGATTAAAGTTCTTTTTTTTTTGCAGTTTTTGGCCAGGGCAGGGTTTGAACCTGCCACTTCCGGCATATGCGGCCGACGCTCTACTCCTTTGAGCCACAGGTGCCGCCCTTAGATTATAGGTCTTGACTGTGTGTGCTTATCTGCTGGTAGACTGCCCCCCATGATCAAGGCATCTTCTCCAAATTAAGAACTCTAACAAACCAGCTGGGAGAGGGATGAAATATAAGCATAATTGCCAGGAGGTGAAATAGGGATATGGAGTTTTTATGGCCACCAACATCCTCCAGTAAAAGTAACAGTGGCAAAATCTGGGCAGCCTCTAAACTTTAGAGAAAAAAAGAGAATCCTGGTCAGTCTCTCTACAGCTGATACTGGGAGAAATGTCTCCAGGTCCTAATAACAACACCCAGGGGACTAGGTGACAGGTGCTCAGGGAAGCACATGCGGGTCTTACTCACCTGCACATGCTGCTCTTTGATGCAGACCCACACAACATAGACCCCAGGTTCTTTGGGGGTATAGGAAACCTGGTATGTCCCATCCTTGTTATCCTGGACCATCGTTTTGACTGGACTGAATGGAGATAAGAGTTCAAAAAACCACTCATCCCCCATACCCTGCTTCAGTTGCTATGACTTTATAATGGAAACTCTACATGATTCCATTCGATCTTAATTTTAAACATCCCCAAATAGCATGTGTCTTCCACTTGCCTTAGAAGTTAATTTTACGACAGAAGGTAAGCAGTATAAATTCTAATGTAGGCTGACATTCAGATGAGCTCCTTATTGTGTTCTTTTCAGTTGAACCCTCTTGCTCTTTCCTGTCCCACCATACTCCAGCTCCAGAGAAATATATGTTCCTGGCACAATTTAGTAGCGAAAGGGTCTGAATTTTGAGAAGGGCACTATTCAGTCAAACAAGATTTTTCGGTCTAGTCCAAAACTTGGGAAAGAGGGAAATCTGAGGAGCAGACCATACCTTTGAGAGAGAGATGAGTACAGGTATAAAACCTATTCAAGAAAGCACATTTGGTCCAACCAATTGTATCACTTTTTTTTATACTATCATGGGCAGGCAAGATGTAACAACTATGGTTAACCTCTCTGACATCTCAAAGGACCTCGTGTTTGCAGTTTCCTCACTGCCTGTCACCCACGCCACCTAATTGTGTCACACAAACCTGTCTTTCTTATCTTTAGGGACAACAGTGACTTGAACGTCATCTCCTCCCTTGCCCATGCTCTCGCCTGTGGCATCCTTACAAAGCAGGGTGAAAGAGGCTGTCTGTTTCTCCCGGGCCTTGTGGAGATCTGCAAAAGATAAATGTGCAAGCCTCACCTCCAAGGCAAACTGCGGCGACTCCACCCCCAGATCAGACACCACCTTGCTTTTTCTCTTCAGGACAAAATGCTGTGCGTCCTGTTTATTGTAACCACCCTGCTCCCTTTCTTTCCTCTTCCCCTCTGCCTGGCAGAGTATAAACCTCTTGGGACCCCCTCTGGTGAACCTGGTTCTCTCAGCCAGCAGCTGCTCTTGGATGACACAGAATCCTGGACCTTAACTTTAGCCCTGAGGAAGCTTTGACAATACTCAAGATTGACCCCTCTACCTATTCAGAGGAAAATCCCAAACCCTGTGAGAGAGGCTAGTGACCCCCAAACTACTCTAAGCTCCAGATCCTGCTGGAAAGGCAGGGAGTGCAGCTGACCAGCTTGGACTCTCCACGTTGTGGGATCCTCTGTGACTCAGTAGCTCATGCCAAGCACTGGGGGAATACCCAGTAGCTGCCCAGTTCCTCATCCAACATTCGGGTGAAACAAGGTTTGTTCCCCTGGGGTTGATGCACTCTTAGGCTCTATGAAAAGGCTTATGAAGGATCCTGAAACCTCTTGAAATTGTACACCCAAGTTAGTGGATGTTTCTTGGGGAGAACATTATTAAGGGGATCTATGACTTCCAAACAGTTAAGAATTCTTGTGCCAGAGTCATAATGGCTCTAGGATACAATATCCCAATCAGGATTGATCTATGAAATACATGTTTGAATAACATGTTTCCTTTAGAAATAGAATACTGGTCAAAAGACCATTTCCTCCCCTCCTGCATGAAACATCTGCCATGTTCTTTAAAATGCCAATACAGCTATGTGAGCCGAAAAGAACATACAAGAAGGAAATCATAATCTTGTCTTGCTCATTCCTCTGAAACCTCCTTCAGAACTTGATCCAAGCAGTTCAGGGCCTGCCATTCTCCTCTCTGGACAGGCAGGATGTGCCCTGCCCTAGTCAATGTTAATGTCCCTTGGGCCACTGTCTCTGTCCTGTCATCTGATAGAAACGAAGCCTGATCCCCGAGTATGCTGGTACTCACCACTTTTCTGAACTGGAAAAGGGTCAAGCTTTATGCTTGAATTAAATATTAATTGTGCCCTGACCAGAACCAATCAGAAAAGAAAGGATCACTGCCTTTTAGATCAGTATGTGTCCCCCACCCTACCCTGGGTAACTGGTCGGTGGGCAAGTGCTACCTAGCTGAACAAGCCACCAGTCTTTAAACACCATGTCCCTGTCCACTGCCCTCTCAAGGCCAGTGGGCCTTCCTACCTTCGCCTTGAAGGACACACTTGGCTGGATCAACCTCTTTGGTATTAATGGTTCCGTAAACTTCATAGCCACGGCACTGGCCTGCTTTCTCCTGGGGAGAGAAGCTGATCTTATCGTTCACTCCGGGACGGGCACTGTATTCGATTTTGTTCAGCTTCTTGAGGCGCTCTACCACCACCCCCTTGGTGATGAGGATCTCCAGATCGGAGCCACTGTTCAGCAAGTGCTGAGTGAACTCCACTCCTGTGCGTATGTCTGCCAGCATCTGTTCCAGCTGTGCCTTCTGCAGCTGCAGGGAGTTCTCCTTCTGGACCCGTATGTCTTCCAGCTCCTTCAGCAGTTTGTCCCGATGCTCCTCAATGGCTTTGATGTAGCCCTCCGAGAATGTTCGGACATTGGCTGCCACTGCCTCCACTCGCTCCTGGAGGGCACTGTTCATCCTTCCCATCTGGTCCAGGGCTTCCTCCAGGGCTTCCATGTGGGGCTGGGTGCCTTTGAGGAGCTCCCGCACTAAGTCCCCATGCTTGTGGATGACATTGCTGGTAAAATCGCAGGGATGCTCCCTGTGCTCCCCTACCACACAATCCCGGCACACAGGCTGGTCACAAAGCTCACAGAATAGCCTCAGCTCCTCCGCGGGGTGAGTGGAGCACAGGATGGGCTTCCCAACCTGGCTGTAGCCTTTCAAGTCTTTGAGGTCTACCATGGTATGGTAAGCTGTTTTCTTCTGCCGTCTAGGGACAAATAGAGTCAAGAATAGGAGATAAGGGAATAATTCTGGTTGGGAAACAGTACAGCAGAGAGGTTTTAGGAGCATGGGCTCTAAAGCTAAACAAATTTGAGTTCAATTTCTTGCTCTAACCTCTAATTGCACGATCCTCTCTAAGTCCAGTTCCTTGTCTGTACAGTGGGGACAATACTTACCCAAAAGAGCTCTTGTACAGAATAAAATGAGAAGAGACCAAGGCTCCAACTTGGTACATGTCTTTGCAAAAGGTTGCAACACTAAGACTACACACTAGAACTTTCCCCAAAGAGTTAACTTGGCAAGTTTAGACAATCTGCTTCCTAAGGCTAGAGGTGAGAGCACAGCAGAAAACGAGCACCAAGAGACAGACACTGGGCCAGGTGGCATAGCAATAAACTCCAAGCAATTAAAGAGCAGCTGGGTGGCACTGACACAAAGTCTCATCCAGCTTGCATCTAAGAATTTGGTAAAGCATTTACCTCGTCCAGTATCTACATCACCCAAATCAGCAGGCTAGAATATCCCTGTAGGGTCATAAACATTATGAAAAAGAGTGAAATCAATAGTCAGTACAATCAGGCTCAGCGCCCGTAGCACAGTGGTTACAGCGCCAGCCACATACACTGAGACCGGTGGGTTCAAACCCAGCCTGGGCCAGCTAAACAATGACAACTGCAACAAAAAACTAGCCGGGCACTGTAAAACCTGCCGGGTATTGTAGTGGGCCCCTGTAGTCCCAGTTACTTGAGAGGCTGAGACAAGAGAATCGCTTAAGCTCAAGAGTTAGAGGTTGCTGTGAGCTGTGATACCATGGCATTCTATGGAGGGCGACAGAGTAAGACTCTGTCTCCAAAAAAAAAGTCAGTACAATCAAAGCTCTCTTTTTTTTTTTTTTTTT